TGATGAAGGAGGCTTCAGCAAGGATAGGCATGAAAGAGCACCAGGAAGATGACATCCTCCTTTCTCCACTACTAGTGTCTTCTTCACAGAACATCCAGACAAGGTCCCAACAAAAGCCTGGCCTGGATGCATAGTGTGTCTTTGTGCTTGCTCCATGTCACAAGCTATAAAGCAAACAAGCAGCCTAACAGGCTGCCACACTACAGAGCCTCCAGTCTCCTCTGCTCACTCATTCCAAGCCTCATCAAAATGCAGCTTCCTCTCTGAGGCGCCACGCTCTGGCTGCCAACACCACCTGTGGGGGGAGAAATTATAAAAACAAAACGGCTCCACCACTCAATATTTAATGCTGTGTAGGCCAGCGTGCTTGATTTGAAGTGAATCCCCTCAAAGCGCTCACATTTACATGGCATTACGTCACTCCTCATCCATCAATGCTGTGCAGAGGCAGGAGAGAGAAAGAGAAAGAGAGAGGGAGAAACAGAGGAAGTCTCTGTGTCTTTAAATGGTAAAAATAATGCGCTAAGCTCACAAATGAAGAACTTCACAATAAAAATGATTACAGAGTCAGAAAAATCATTCAATGTCCAATGTTACCCAGATGATGAAGCATCAACAACTAAATATTCATTCAAGCAGATTAACAATGTCTCCTATATGGATTTATGCAGACATTCACAAATATTTTGGGCTGATGTTGCTCTGGGGGTAAAATCATCCAGTCAGCAGCAGCTGTGTGGTGTCACCAGCAATAATGATCTCACTGTGCCTGGGAGCGGATCTTCTGGAATGAGCATGCATGGAATGGAACTTTTCTTTTTACAATGAGTTTGATAGCATAGGGAACTATAAACTAGTTGAATGAATTTTGTTTGTTGATAACAATATAGCAATATGATAATAAGAACATTTATTTAGAGCACTTTTAATGCACATAGCAGCCCAAAGTGTTTTACAAATAAAATTAAATAATAACTAGAATAAAAAGTAATATAATAAAGAGATAGACAATAAATAAACAAATAAAAGTAAAACTTTTATTACATGTTAAATTATATAGCCATTAATTGTTTTTTTAATATACTGAGGTTGACTGTCTAATAAATTAGTACAGAATTGTTGCTATTTTTGTTTTTATTAATGAAGATACAGAAAGTCAAAAACAGACACATAGATATTCATCAGAAATAACATCTTAGCTGAAAATGAAAATGAAAACTAAATATTAAAGACAAAGTGTGTTTCGTCCTTCCAGGTCTTTCACAAACATAAAGTAAGTTTGTCTTTGCGGTTGATTGCTCATCATGTTTTTGCTCTTCATTTGCAACTTGGCGTTGTCATGAATATAATCATTTACATTGGACAAAGTCTATTCCAACCCCAGAGAAACTCTTCCAAACTTTCAGTGATGCTGTGTTTTATCTGGCCTAGGTCTGCTGATGGCCTTTCTTTGAAGGTTTTACAATTCAGGCTGCAAAAAAATAAATAAAAAAAGTATAAATAGGTGGGATTATGTTTGTACCTTTCATACATGTTAAAGCTTATCTCATGTGATCAGGTCTCTAGTGACAGTTGTGTGATAAAAGTTGTAATATTCTAATAAATGTATTATTATTATTATTATTATTGTTATTGTTATTATTTATTATTATTGTTATTATTTATTATTATGGTTATTATTATTATTATTATTATCATTATCATTATTATTATTATTAGTAGTAGTAGTAGTACACTCTCAGAAAAAAGGGTGTGAAACTGTCACTGGGGCAGTACCCCTCTTGTCACTGGGGTGGCACCCTCAAGAGTACATCTCAGTACTTTTAGTCAGGGAACATAACTGTACCATAATCCATTGAAATTATATTTTCTAAGTTATACTGACTCCACACACCCCGTCTCGTCTCCAGGCTTTTTATTTTATTGTACTGTTTTAAACATTAGGTTATGAAAAGATACAAATATGCACTTTTCACTTGGGAAAAATGTATTTAAGGTGCACAATTGGACCTTAAAACCACTGTTGTACATTTTAGGATACATTTACATTGTTTGTACCATAACGAATGAAAAATGTACCTGCCCAGCACGTTTATTTTAGTGTAGTAGTAGTAGTAGTAGTAGTAGTTGTAGTAGTAGTAATACACCTGGGATTTTAAGGGGTTATCTGAAAAACCCATATCCTAATATTTATATGTTATGAATTTGCATTCTGATGCCATGTTGTGTCCACAACTCAGATAGTCTGCTGGATAAAAAGCCAGTTTTATTTCAAACTGTTATTCTTTATCTTTGTGGTACAGAAATGTAGAGTTAATGACCATATGATGTTGTTTCTGTGTATTTGGGTCAATGTAAGGTCCAACAAAGTGATTTTTCCAAATTTGTACACAAAATTAACACCTGATCCCTGCTACTTCAACTGCTTTAAATAGCAAAATTACATGGGATCACTAAGATTAAATATTTTACACTATTTCTACATATGGGAAAAATCTTCATCGCAAGAAGGTCAAGGAAAGCCTAAAAGGTCTTTCTGAAACCTTCCAGAGATGAAGAAAAATGATCACTGAATCACATCAGCACTTATTAAATTCAATATAATTATCTCTATTTTAAAACAAAATTAACTGAATTCCAAATACATTGTCTCAAAAAGGTCAGAGAGAGTCTAATGGGTTTTGGTACACTTCGTCGATAAAAATATTTTACTGCTCAGTCACATCAGTATTTACTAAAAGAAATCAAATAATTCCTGACAGAACTACAGTGAATTGAATTGGAAGTCACTGAACAGTATCTTTAAAAATTTGAAGTAATTAAATAAAATGTTGTAATCTCATCATCACAGTGAATGCCATTCAGGATAAATTTGATCAGAAACAAAACTGCTCTTAGCTGCTAGTGTCCACTTGATGGTGCTCTCAAGCAGTCAGTGGTTGTCTCTCCAAAACTCTTTTGATTTGTAAAGCACACTGAACTTCAGATTATCAATTTCTCAGTGTTGAAATCACTATACTATAGTAATAACTCAGATAATAAATGGAGTAGAGGTACATTAGGACACAGTGTAATGCTTTCACAAAGCTTAGCCATGTTATAGTGCTGTCAACTTTGTCTATATCGGTGTATGCCTTTACCCTGTGTTCTGCGTGTTCAACCATGTATAGATTGTTTTTCCACTTTTCAAGTTGCAATGCATAAATTTTGTTCTTTATGATAATGCATGACATTTTGAAGCTTGATTTTGAAGAAATTGGAAGAAAGAGCAAAATGTAAATAGTAAAAGAACTTTAAGACTACAGAGAAGAAGACAGATAATGACCTCTAATCCCAACACCAATTGGCTGGGATTTTTATCTCTTATCTTATCAAGAGACACCATTTGTCAGTTTTACAGACCCAGGCTAATCTAAGGCATAGACTATAGGCTTTTCAATAGACAATCACGATTAAATTAAAATATATTACAATTTAGCCCAGTCTTAATCCGTGTCAAACCTGCTCTACATGTCAGTTTGCAGATATCTGCTCATTCAATGTGTCTTCTGAAATCAAGAGTATTAATATGGAATTGGTCTCTCTGTCCTGCAATAACAGCCACTTCTCAGGCTTTGCACTACATGTTTGAACATTTCTGTGAGGATTTGACTGCACTGAGCCACAAGAGCATTAGTGAGGTCAGGTACTGATGTTGGATGACCAGTTCTGGATCACAGACACTACTCCAACTCATCCTAGAGTTATTGGATGGAGCTCCATCGCTCCAGAGAACGCAGTTTCACTGCTCAGTACTGGAGGGCAACCCTTGTTGATGCTCAGCATTGGGTACAGTGATGTTAGGCTCATGTATGGCTGTTCCAGAGGGTTCTATTCTATTGGCAATGCTAGAAGAGGTGTCTGGAATCTTTTGGACACAGCTATACAGTCCACATTTTTAATATTGAAGGTGTATACGCAGGGCTAGATTCAGGCCCTTTGGTGGACCTGGGCATTAGAGTTATGGTGCCCAGTCACCACACACTTTGCATACATTACAGTCTCACTGTCACACATACCAACACACCATATATTCATTGATTTACCTTATCACTGTTTTGCTGACTTGTACTATTCATTTTTCACAAAATTTTTCATATCTTAGCTGAACTAACATTAGCTCCACAGCAAACACCTTGTCAAAATCCAAAAGCAAAAGCCGGGTTTGTGGATAAATGGTCATCAGTTCATTCAACAAAGATCCCTAATGTTACAGTGCACATGGAATACGACACCAAAACCAGAATTTTGTCTGTGTTTTACCCATAATGATGCAGTTATCTGCCAAATTTAAGGTGATGATGTTTTTTTTCTTCAATATTTACAGGTTGATTATTATACATAGACTGCCTAGTGTACTATGTGAACATTTGAAGATTTTAAGTAAATTAAATGTTAGAAAATATGTAATGTTATCAGATAGTTAAAATCATTAATTGGAGAAATATATTGGTGCCCCTGGACGTTAGGTGCCCATGAGCAGTCACCAAATATGTGGGGTAGGAGTGAACTGATGCAAACACATTTTCAGGCAACTATCATTGCAATTCAGCTAAAAACCAACAACAACAACAAAACCTGCTTGACTTGTCTGAGCTCTAACACACCTCAGCCTATCAGCTAGTGACTAAATCCTTAATGAGGATAAAATGGCGTGCAAAAACACAGATGCAAAGCCGGGGAACTCCAGAAGCAGCACTGAGGAACACTAGCCTAACATGTCTGGCAGCTGACGTCGGGCAACTGTTCCACAGATTTGGCATACTTCGGCGCACGGTGTGCAGCTTCAGTTTCACAGATTACACTATACACGTAACAGACTTAACTTGTGCGACTGGGATAAATGACAACGCGGTAACCACTAAAAGCGTACGACTGCCCTTCGGCGGCGCTGTTTGTCAGCAATATAATCCAATCAGCGAGCGCCTTTCAGAGGGGTTTGGCCAATCATCGCGCTCCAGGACGAAGCAGCCCTCCCCTTCATCAAGACTCTGACCCGAAGAAGATCTTGGCCTGTTTGTAGGAGAAAGATATTTTTTGTAGGATCTGCTGGATCGTTTCTTTTAAACCATGATCCTATGTTGATACTAGGTTGTCAGTGATTTATTGATTGGGGCGTGGAATTGTTCTCGGGAACATAGTTGGCCTTAAAAATGCCAAAGAATTTACGCTATCAAAGCAGTGAAACACCGAAAACGGAATTATCGGCGCTCATGTGAAGTCATATTTGTCTATTTGTTTGTTTTCGTTGAAGGGGGGAGTACGTTAGGAAAAGACTCTTTGGTGAAAATATACCGAGATTAGAAACAGAAGTTGAGACGGAACACCAATATCGTGGTATATCTTAAAAAGGTAAGTAGCTAGCTTGCTAGCTAACGCTAGCTGTGTGTCTGTGACTCATTAGCTCGGTTGTTAGCTAGAAGGCTAGCTTGGTTTCTGTCAGTTCGTTTAGGTGGCGTTAGCTGTCTTAGCGTTAGCTAACATGGCCTCAGTTTTACGGGGGTGGAGGGGTCAGGCTACCTAGCTAAGCTGGCCAAACAGGTTAGCCTGCTAGTGTAGCTAATGAGCTAATACGTATATATGTCTATAAACACACCCGATTACACACGTGTGTATATATATATAAATATATAAATATAAATAAATACACACGCACGTACACCCGCACGAAAGCTAATGGTGTGTGGTCTAGCTAACGTTAGCTAGGCTGTGCTAGCTAGACGAGGTGAGTTTCTTGCGTGTTGTGTAACGACGGACGAGGACAGAACCGTTTGCTGATAAAGTTGTTTAACTGCAGCTTGATTTCTTGATGTGTCGCTTCGTTGTGTAGCTTAGCTAAATAGCTGACTAGGTAAAATAATCACTCGCTTATTTTGGCTTGAGGTTTCATGCTTTTGTCAACCTGTAGCCTTAAACGCAATCAACAAACAAGCCCGCGTCACTTTTAATCCACTTTAGTCAAGCTCAATATTATACTGCCATTTGTCGTCTAATCCTCCATGCGGTGATTTAAAACTATTTAAATGCTGTTTGGGTCTGAACTTTATTTTTTTATCGTCCTTGTTCACTTTTAGACGACGTTTTCGTCCTTGTATTTAATCTAGCGTTACATTGTCACGGCTCATATCTGCCCTTGTTAGCGTGCTGACTCGAGCTCCGCGTTTGGTTACTCTAGCATTGCTTTGCACTGCAGTGTTTGCGGTTTTTGACCTGAGCTTCTCGAAAACGTCGCATTGATGCTAAAAGTGTGGAAGTCTAAAGCTTGCCCGCAAAGACGGGCCTTTGGGGCCTGCAAACAGATACTCTACCCAACCTATCATAAGCAACTGGGGAACGTTAGTCCCAAGTTTTATCCAGGTAGCCTTTTTTGAGTGTGCTTTCATGTGTCAGTTGGACACACGTCAAGGAGGTTTCTAAGTTTGTCACACGTTGCACAAGTCAAGTGTTGACCAGTATTGTTAATATTCAAATGCATGCTCTTATTTGAAATGTGTGTGATTGTGTATGAACAGAGTTCGTTAGTGACCTTTGTCTCCAGATTTTGTTTGTCGATTTGTTTGTCTTTTCTGGAGAGTGAACGGGGCCAACCGTTTAGTAGGCCACAGTTTTGCCCAATAACTTGCATCACAGTTAAGATTAAACGGGTAATTTTTTTTTTTGTCTGCTTTGCTGATTTGTAATACAGGCAAAATCTATTGCAAGCTGAACATGTCAAGTTCTATGGTGACCCTTTCTCATTGTTCTGTGGTTTTGTAAAAATATTAAGATTTTGAAGCAGTTCTTAGAAAGTAAGTATTAAGTGGAAGTCCTTCGGGTTGGTCGATTTACAAAGTTAGAAAAGTAACGGCACATTAAATGGCTGTGAAATGTTAAATAAAAAAACCTAATAGTAATTGAGGCATGTGGTTGTAGACCATGACTGCAAATGTATGGAGACATTGGTTTACTGGAGGTCTTTCTGTGGCTAAACAGATGCCCAGCCTGTTGATGAGTTTACATAAGTAAAGATTTTTTTCCCCATGCAAAGAAAAGGTGTTGTTGGTCTAAAGGTTATTTTTCTGTCCATACGGTCCGTTGAATATCTTTGTACAAAAGATGCATTTTTTTAAAAAAAGTTGTCTAAAGGGTTGGCAAGTGTTGTCATACAGTAATGCGTTCAGTGCTTTTTCCATCTCATAATATGGCCTTTTTTGTGTTTTTGTCCCCTGAAGCGTTGAATTCTTAAATGATCATGTTAGACGTACTCGTGCCTCTAACAGGAGTGCGTTAATACTTGGTTTGGGATACTTCAAAGACTAATCCAGATTTTGATTCTTGTAAGAAAGATGAAAGGTAAATTAATAATTTGTAAGTGTATTAAGGATTTTATCTTGTTCAGTGGATTAAAGAAGTAGCAGGTCAATGAGTACCTATGCCTAGTGTAAGTCCCACTATCATCATCATGTCTGTCACTGAAACTTTGACCCATGTTGCAGCGTTACTGCTCCAGAGAGTGCTGACAGTGCAGGCTACGTGCAGCTGATGCTGCCTGGTAATGGATGAGGGCTGCTGAAGTGTCAGCAGTGTAAGTGAGAAACACAGAGGTTTAGTGATTTGTTTGTCTGTGTGTTGTGGGAAATGTAGAAGAAGGAGCTCATTTTGTGCTCTGGCATTTTTTAATGTTCTTTTTGATCTGACAGAAGTCAGGACAGTACTGTTTTTCTCATTGGTAATGTAGGCTAAGCGTTTGCTGCGAGGCCAGATGAGTCTTTTGTATTGGGAATATACTCTTGATAGATTACATCATTTAACATTTCCTTGCTTACTTGGCCTTATCAATGAAACTTTTGTTTAATTGGCTGATCTGTATCCCGTAAATAAGTATTAAAATTAGTAGGTAAAGGGTGTTCATTTTTGTGAATCACAGAGGTCTTACCGTTTTATTGTGCTTTTTTAAGCCACAGTCACACTAGAAATTTGCAGTTTGTGTCACCTTGTGAAATTGGTGTGACACCAAGTTTAGACTGGAAGACAGACAATGAAAAAAATTCTGCCTTTTGGTGCATTTAGCAAACTTGCTAATTCAATGGCAGCCATATAAAAAAAAAGGCCATATAATTAGATGCAGGCGAGAGCATCCTCTGATTATGGAACTGAATGCGGATATAGAGAACACATACGATTTACAGTTTTATTGAATGTGGTCAAGATCCATCTTTGACCACATTTAAATGTGGTTTGAGTGATGTTTGTAATCCAGTTACAGCGTGTTGTAGGTGTGTTTATACCTTTCTTCTCAGGCAGTCACATGAAAACCGAATGTGATCGCCTCACCAAAAACGCATGTTGATACAACAGGTAAACAGCCAGGTAGACTCTGCATTTAGCAAACTGACTAAAAAGCCTACCATACACAGTAAAAATGCAACAATAAAGATACTGTTTAATACAGCCTCTTAACTGACTGCACTTTATTGTGCCTTTTTATATGTTAATTTAGAACAATTAAGGAAGAAATGTGTAAAGTGTAATGTGTAAAGTCCCTTCTAAAATTAGCACTTGATTCATCTTGGGTTTTCATTGTTGTATGAAGTTCTGCTACTTCAGAGGTTGCTCTTGAATCTGTGATGTGGCAAGTGTTTTTGAAACGAAATCGTGATTGCAAAAAACTGTTATGACTAATGGAAAAACAAAAGTGATATTTTTCTTGCGAAATATCAGAAGTCAAATGAATACTTAACGACTCGTTCTTTATGTTGCAATGCTTTATTGTTCTAAATATTCAAACATTTTTATTTTTCTTAAATATTAGTATGTGATTCTAAAATCACTCCTGTTTTTCTTGCCTCTCACTCTCAAACAGTTTTCGTGGTAGCAGTTTTTAGATAAGAACGCCTCAGGTAGATCACTCCCATACTTTCACATTTTGCTGACTCGTATGCAGCTTCTATGGGAGGGGCCTTGCCACCTCTCCAGAAATTGAAGTTGTTAATTTAACTTCTGCCTACTATTAAAATGTCATCGTATGCTATGCTAAATACAAAAAAACAAAGCATAACCCTTAGTGGTGTATATATAATGACTGAAGAACATGTGTGAGCCATGGTAATAGTCCCTAGTGATGGTAAAACCGCATTTACTGCTGGTTTTGAAAGAATTTTTATTTTTTTAATTTTTTTTCATACAATCCAAAGCAAGACTTTAGTATTTCCACATGTAAATGTAACTGAACATTTAAACATTTGTCGGGTGAAGTGATATTCTGCAATTAATACCACATTTATTATAAAGCGGCTGCATTGGGTATGCCTGTTAAAAAAGCCACATGTGCTGTACATTTTAGGGCTTTGTCAGACCACAGCGCCAGGTTTCAGACATCAGAAGAAAAGATTTTCGGAAAAACAAATTAGAAAAAAATACCTAATGTCTCATACATCACGCAAAAGAGGTTGTTTCCAACCACCTGAGGCAAAATGACAGAAGAATAAAAGACAATCAGAGAAGGCGGCCTCAAACTAACATGGCTTCAAACTCTCGGGCGGTAAGGTTTGTGTGACGTTCGCAGTTCTGTTTTTTTTCTTATTAGATTAATAATAGTTTCATGGCCAAGTCAAAGTTGACCTTATACTGCAACCACAACTTTTACTGAACAGTGCTATTATGTTCTTTTATTTAAGCCCAGAGTGGAATATGTGTATAGTAATCGGCCTGCTTGCTGTGTGTATGTGTATATGGACAAAAGTATTGTGACGCAGCTCTTACTCATTGAATTCCGGTGTTTCGTTTAGTTCCATTGCCAAAGGTGTATAAAATCAAGCACCTAGCCATGCAGTCTGCCTTTACAAACATTGTGAAAGAATGGGTCGTTCTAAAGAGCTCACTGAACTCAAGCGTGGTAACACTGTTGCAACAAGTCAGTTTGCGAAATTTCTTCCGTCCTAGATATTCCACAATCAACTGTGAGTGGTATTGAAAAGTGGAAGCGTTTAGGAACCACAGCAATTCAGCCACAAAGTGGCAGACCATGTAAAGTTAAAGAGCGGGGTTGCAGAGTGCATAAAACTTGCCGATGCTCTGCAGACTCAGTAACTGCAGAGTTTCAAACCTACTCTGGCATTAACATCAGCACAAAAGCTGTGCGCCAGGAGCTTCATGGCATGGGTTTCCATGGCCGAGCAGCTGCATGCAAGCCTTACATTACCAAGCACAATGTCAAGCATCAGATGGAGAGGTGTAAAGCACGCCACCACTGGACTGCAGTAGAAACATATTCTGTGGAGTGACAAATCACGCTTTTCTATCTGGCAGTCTGATGGATGAGTTTGGGCCCTTTTCTGTACCACCATAACTCTGCCCCAGTGCACAAAGCAAGG